TTTAAACCTTAAAATCAAATGATCGGTTTTCTGCTCCATGTACGATCCAAGTATGTGACATACAGTAGCTCTGAAGCATCTATTACCGTTCCCAACAACCTACACTTGTGAGCTTGGATTTTCGACACTTGTTGGACTGAAAACAAAAAAGAGAAATCGTCTGGACGTGGAGCAGGACATGAGGCTAAAGTTGTCCAGCTTGGATCCAGATATCACTTCTCTAATTGCTCAACAAAAGCAGCTCCATTCTTCACTAACTTTTTAAGTAATAAAAACATTTGCAAAATATGCAGCTTTGTTTGTAAAAATATTAGTACTTTTCATAAAATTGTATTCAAGATTAGTTATTTTTAGTACATTAATAGGTGATGATTTTCACAGGGTAAGAAGTGGACATAGGCATAGACGGTCCGCCGCATCTGTGACTTGGTGTAAGTGGTCCACGGACAATAGAACTTTGAGAACCACTAACATCTCGTAAAAGTTCAGTTGGGTTGAGGTCTAATGACAAAGAAGGCCATGAAATTGGGATAACATCAGTGTCGTGATCATCAAATCATTGGGCAAACACATGCACTCAGTGGTTGGGGGTACTGTCAGTCCTGAAAACACAAATGCTGTAAAAGGCGTGAAAGTGATCACTCAATAAGTACTTATTAGCATTGACTTTGCCTTCTAAGGGATTAAGTGCACCCACTTTCATGCATCCTACATTACAGAATCACCAAAACCCTTCACTGCTGGAACTGAGCGCTCAGGGCTGTAAAGATTTTTAGTCTTGCATCACACATACACTTGTCTGTCTGTCAAGAACATGATGAAGGATTATCCACCTGACCATATTACATTTCTTTACTTCTCTGTAGTCCTAAACCTATGCTCTTTGTGCTACTGAACAAATGTGCATTGAAAGGTGGGAGGAGCAGTTTGTACTCTCCAACCTGACTATGGTGTCCTGTTCTTGTTTTCTTCAGGGACTTTTTTTGGTGAAACTGTCTGATCACACCCCAGTTGAATTTTTCAGTCAATTGATCTGCATTTACTGGCCTGTTTTGGTCTTGCACTTTACAAGTTTTGGCCTTGACTTAATGCAGGGATGTCATGATCCTAGAGTATGCGTTTCCACCCCCTGTTGCCCTTGATACAGATGATGTGTTAGCCATAATTATAGACAACTAGGCCTGTCCAGCATTTTTAGACATGACCCAAAGCTTGCTCCGATATTATCTGCTTAACACATGAGCCACACTTGTGTAGGTGCTGTTGCTTTCAGTTTATTGTCCCTCAATAAATCTGATGTTTGTAGGTTTTTTGTTCAGTACCTGTCCATTCAGCTTTTTGTCTTCTGTGTTTTACAGAAATGTCCAATTTCCTGTTACTTATACTGTGCTGTACGTGCTAACATATAGTACATGTGAGTTAGTTCTTAACTAAAAGATGCTTTTTGAATATCAATATGACTTACTGACTAGTAGATTAGGACCAAGAGGAAACAAAGTTTTCATTGCCATTTTGATCAGTGAGAAAGCACTAGAAAAAATGATGGCATTTGGAAGATCTGCTGAGTGTGAAGCACATTTGAAAGTGCAGTGGAATTGCATTTAAATCTGAGAATTGGGGTAGTTCTTTATACAAAGGCTTATGGGAACATGGTGAAACCACCCAGCCACGTTGCTGAAGCCAGTACCTGGACTTTTTTCAGTAATTACCTGTATGAGGTTCTTAGATCAGTCAGCTTCTAATTACCAAACAGCCTAGATGGGCCAAATGGCTTCCTTGCATTTGCCGTCTTACTGTATGTTCTTAAAAATGTGCAAAGAATACCCGGTACATTAACAGCCTATAAGTGGAAAAAGTACTAAGTATTTGCAAGTAGTGTATCTATTATACCCATTTTATTCCGAAAGCATATAATCTCTGTAGGAAAGAGGCAGTTGTCAACCAAATTCCTCTGATGAAGACAGATGAAGAAAAAAATAATAAATGTAAAAAATAGAGAACAATTTTTAAAATTATTAAAATTATATTTTGAAAGTGTTACATGTCCTTTTGTACTTTAAGGGTGATGTAGATGATACTTTAATTCAGTTTTTATCATCAGAGGTTGGGAACTCATGAATGGAAGTAACACGGGTTATGAACTAATGAATTAGAATCATTTGTTAACCTGAGACTATTTTGACACTAAGTGGAGACTTAAATTGTAAAAGATTTATTTTATTTTACTGGTTTATCATGGATATTGAAGAAAGATAGATATGCCTTTATTGATCCCAAAGGTAAATTGATGTGTTACAGCAGCCCAGCCCAAGACCAGCCAAGACATATCAGAATAGATGAAAAATTAAAATACGTACAGTAATACAAAATACATTTAAAATAAATACATAGGTGTGTGCGAAATATGCTCATAGTCACTGTAAAAACAATAAAATATGTGCAAAATATGTTACAGATTGAGTGTCCAAAAAAAAGTACAATGGTGCAACATACTGTCCATAGACGAGCAAATGAAGGCCTAACAGTCCAAGCCTAGGGCAGCGTTATACACCCTGACAGCTGCCGGAAAGGAAAGATCTGTGGTTCCCTTGAACACCCTAGCTGGAGCAGTCTGTTGCTAAAAGTGTTCCGCTGCCCAGTAACAGTCCCATGAAGCGGATGAGAGGCGTTGTCCATGATGGCTGTGAGCTTGGTCAGCATTCTCCTCTCAGCCACCACCTCCAGGGGGTCAAGGCTCATCCCCAACACAGAGCCAGCCTTCTTGATGAGTTTATTGAGCCTATTTGCATCTTTTGTCATGATGCTGCTGCCCCAGCACACAACATCGTAGGAGATGGCCTCCCCCACCACTGATTCATAAAAAATGTGTAGCAGTGTTCCACACACACCAAAGGACCTGAGTCTCCTATGAAAATAGAGTTGGCTCTGACCTTTCTTGTACAGAGCGTCAGTGTTACCAGACTAGTCCAGCTTATCATCCAGGTGTACCCCTAAGTACTTGTAGGAATGTACACCCTCTATGTCCTCACCCTGGATGGAAACAGGGTTCAGCGGAGACTTATTCCTTTGAAAGTCCATGACCATTTCTTTAGTCTTGCTGGTGTTGAGCTGGAGATGGTTAAGATGACACCACTCCACAAAGTTGGTAATCAAGCTTCTATATTCCTCCCCCCTCCCCTCACTAATACACCCTCACTAATAAAGGAAGCACATTTTCTAATGTATAGTTTACTGTAACTTTCATTTTTAAATATAGTAGTATTTGTAAAAGAAAGGTAGCAGAGTATTCAAGTAGTGAATTTATTTGTTTTATATTTACTTTAAAGGTTTCACTGAAAACAAGCCACAACTGTTTATAAATAAATGCATCTTTCTACAGATTAAGAGATCTTCTGTGTTTATTTTTATTGCATTGTTTTACTTTCTTATCAGATGCCTCTTGGGTGATGTGTTATTAAAAAGCGTGGGCTAGGTTTTCCTTTCTTGTTAACAATAATTGCATTTGTTGGTATGTATGCACAACATGTAGCACAATGTATCTGTCTAATTTGAAAAGTTCAGGTATCTTATAAAACGATACTTTCACAAGATATGATCTGTCAGAAAGTTTGTAGGTGCTTATTATTGTGTGTTATTATGCGCTGTAAAATGCAGAGTTTGTAAAAAAAAAAGAAAGAATCTTGAATATACAGACAAAAAAATGAATAATTCAGAACAACTCATAACTTATACCTTCCACTGTTCCTTTTATAATGCAGATGGAACATAACGTGGAGTTCCCAGAAGAGCTGAATGTGCACAAGTTACACTTCTGAAAATGCCACTGTTTCATTTTATCAGATGGTCCATGGCTGACGTTTCAGAGCTGTCACATATGTAAAGACTGTGGAATAGGGGACATAAGGCATCATGAAAGGAAAGCATCATTACACAGAGAGTTGAGGCCCTTTAACTCACCTGAACATTGTTGGATGCAGGAGATGAACAGCCTGGTTTCCTTTTTCTGTAATGGTTAAAGAGCGGAACAAAGAATGTTGAGTGATTGCTTACTGTAAAGAAGCTTTGCTGGAGTATTATACAGCTTTCTTTGTGTGTCCTCTTACAGAACTAAACGCTTATGACAGTTCTCAATATTGTGACTGCTCATGTTAAAGAAAAACTCTTTATATAAATCTGCAAAATAATAAAGGGAATACAACATGATATTAAAATTCTAACTGCAGAAAGACTATAAAGTAATACAATTTATATAATGTGAGAAAACTCAAAATACCCAAGCACTGCATTAGGATTGAAAGCTCAATTAGTTAGAAACCTTTTTTCATAACGCTTTGTATTTTCTTAGCTGGGCTATGTTTTGATTTTTTTTTTTAATTTTGTCCATCTGCTGCTGAGGTTCAGTCCAGTCTCTAACATTTGTTCTTTCAATAAGTGTGTAATATTGGATCCGTTCTATGTTTTTCTTGATTTTCACCTCGCTTCTTTCAAAAAACAACTGGATGAGATTTCTTCCATCCTTACAAGACTTGATATTCAACAGGTTAAATCCCCTCACCACCTGTGCCCAGTCAGCTCCCTCATTAGTGAGGTGATATAGTATTGACATGGTATAGTATAGGTGATATAGTATAGTAAATGAGTGACTGTGCAGTGGACAGTTCATGAAAAGCACTCCAAAATCACTTAATATCCAAACTCCTGACATGATATCTTTCTAAAAACATACATGTTTTGATGCTCACAACAGTTGTAAAGCCCTTTAGATACCTGTAAATATGTGCATGTATAAAATCATATTTTCTGTGTTAAAACTTTAAAAAGCGAAAAAAAATACTGTGTTCAAAAGTGTAAAACTCAGTGTTAGTTAAGGTTTGGCTAGGAATCTATGGTGGTAGAAAAGAGGCATTAGATTGCAGTCGGTAACAATGGCATTGTTTTAAGGGGTTTGTTTGGCTGGTGGAAAATACACGGCTCAAAAATAAACCGTTTTGTTTTGTCAGCCCAGCCTCCACCGAGTGTTTCAGCGCTGGAGCGAAGTGAGGGAGAAGTGGGCAGGCCCCTAAAGGGCCACGCAGGCCTGAGCAACGGAAGTGGGGTTCACAACGGGGTCACGCCCGCCAGGCCCGAGCACAGAAAACTCCCCTCTCCCGTGTCTCAGAAAGTGCACAGGAAGCTGCAGGCGAGCTTGTCCGTGAGCAGCGACGGCAGCAAGAAGAGCGCAGCCAGCTCGGCGAACTCTCAGAAGCCAGGATCATCACCTGAAGGTAAGGGTGGCCTAGCAGTCCGGTGGCCATATCAAGACACTGGGGCTTGAGGTTTTACTTTCTGATCATCGCCTTGGCCCTTTCCCCCTTTTTTGTTTTAGAAAAAGTGTGTCATCCTTGTAGTACTGTATAAAGTTATGAAAATATCGTCGAATACCAGAGTTTTCCAATTAATACATGATCAAATAACAGTGCCCTGTAGAATTTGTAGATGTCTAAAAGGCTGTGATGACACCCAAATCAAGAAAACAGTTCTTTTTGAAAGTCAAACACGAAACACTTTCAGAAGTTTTTTTTTTAATATTAATGATTATGATGAAACCTCAGTACAAAAGCAAACGCGTCTTTCGTTATTAATTCACTTTACCTCTCTTTTTAGAACTGTCCTTGGGAGCACAGCATTTTGCATGTTATAATGAGATCTGTGTTATAATGAAGGGGATTATTGTTGTTAGTCACCAAGGTGTGACCTTATAATGAGGTTAGAGTGGAGGGCGCCTGTAGCGTTCTCATACTACTGCTGCATATGCCGTTCATTTTTAATAGGGGCTGATCATTTAAAATGAATTTCTCATTATGTTCATTTTTTGAAATAGTTGGAAACATTTCACCTATATTTAAGGTTCAGCCTATTTTCTTGTTTCTCTTTTCTTGTTTCGCTTATTCTTTTTCATTGTTTTAATTTCCTGGCTACAGTGAGTACACAAAAGTTGTTGGTCCTATTGCATATTGTAAAATAAATCTAATTAACATTGTTTACTGTAATGTAAGGGAAAAGATTGGCCTATATTTTCAAAATAGTGCTCTTGCATTTTGTTCAAAGTCAAGAATCCGAGTGATTATAGAAGTACTATACATCGCAAGGTAAAAAGCTTTTAAAATTAACATTGAAACACTATTTGTATGGAACCTATTAACAAGTAATAAATGAAGAAACGGCTTGTGCTAATGAATGACACCATACCAGGAGAACTGTTATTTGTGGCTAAAAGATTGCTCGTATTCCTGTCTTTCTAATTTGAAATATTCTTGAATTCTTTGACATTTTTGCACCATAGAAAATTTGAATTTTTATGCTCTGCAATTTAAAACTGCAACTCAACACCTGTGGTTTTCAGTAAAAAAAGATCTAGAACAGTCTAGAACAACAATTAATTTTTACATTTGAACGTGACAATTTGGTATTCCAAATCTGTTAATTTTCTACTTAATGGTCATTAAGCTAATAAGATCTATATGCCCTTTAAGGACAAAATGGTTGCTCAATGAAAGGAACAAGCTTTATGTCTATAAATAGAATTTATCTGCTCAGGAATACAAAGATATCAGTAATTCACAAATTAGTGTGCAGAACACTGAGAAGTCTTGTCTTTAACTAAGGCTACATGATTTGTTGCTTCCTCTAGTGCATATGGGTGTGTTCGTTACAATGGGATTGTCTGATTTTTCTACTGTAAAACATTAAACAAGGTTCTTGGATTGAACTGTAATAAGTTTTGAATACAGAGTAATGGGTTGGATAAAAATCAATGGAACCATTATTAGGGGCATTTTACTTTCAAATAAAAAACAGATGTAATGTTTAGGATTTCCACCTGCTCCAGTTACCCTTCTGACTTTTTCAGGCGTAATGTAACGCATTTATTTTCTAATTCTGTTTACTATTTTTTTACTGTAGATTTGTGGTGCAATGTGTCGAAGGCTCCATGGCCTTCTTTTTTTCAGCATGGAATAAACCTATTACTTGTTCCTAATACTGTACATACACTATGTAATTCTTACAGTATATGTACTGTACATATAGTATATGGATTTACAGTATTTGCAGTAAATGGCTCATTGCTCAAGAAATGAGAAATAATTAAAGGGAAAACATGTTAGGCCTTCTCTTTTCCCATGGACCTCCTATGTTACAGCTGTTGTATGGCCTAGATAAGCTTCCAAATGGACCTACAATGTTTTAAGCCTGCTAATAACTAGTGGATTTTAAGGAAGGTGGGGCTCTCAACATGCTCAACCAGGAAAGACGCTCACTCAAGTGCAGGGTCTATGTGATTACGGGTTTGGACCAGGGTCATATCACTGTGGCCATGATTTTCACTGGCAGGGAGAGACCCAGGCAGCCTCCTGGCAGCTGCCAACTGCCGTCAGGAGGGATGTGCCTCTCTTTCGATTGACCCCAGACCTCTGGCAAGGGCTTGTGTTGCCAGTCTCGTGTTCAAAAAGACGAGTGGCTGAAAGGATTCATTTCCTCATTCTCTCCTGTGCACAGTCACAGGGAGTCGCAGCTGCTGTCAAGATGTGAAAAACATAGTTGACTGTTCCAAATGGTGGGAAAATGAACCAGTGGTTCTAAAAAAAGAATGGGGGTAAGGCAGGAAACTGGTCGTGGTTGTCTGCAGAGCAACAAAAAAGAGTAGAATGGAAGAAAAAAGCAAAGTACATAGTCCACTAAAGATTGGACACAGGTTTCTTGCAGAGATGGAAAGTAAATTGAAATAGCAGTCTTGCATTGAGTTTTTGTGCATCTCGTCTTGTAGATCTTGTTAAATCGTGCTGAAAGATTTTTGATTGTTGGAGCTAGATGAATAAGGAATAATGGCATATTATTAATCCCTGTAAGTCTGTTATATCACAGTTATTTATAGCCATCCGTTTTCACATTTTGCTGGAGGGCTTTGGAACTGAAGGGCTGTTTTCATCCTCAATTTATTGTCCTTTCCTTCTAGTCTGAGAAACAAATGTGTGTGAAATCGAATATATTTGGGAAAGTGGTGACATTTCTCTAGGTTTTAGAAGAGTACTGAGTTTTGATGTTAGTTTGAACTTACTGTAGATGTGTGCCCCTGTCAGCAGTTCAAACTTAGGGTCCTGAAACAATTTCATAGGTGCTGATTTGTCTGAAATCTGGCTTCTTCTTGGTGTCCTCAATCTCTAGCTTTAAATACAATTAAATAATCAGGATAACATTTCAAGTAAAACAGTTCGTATTTTTGAAATAATAAAACAACAAATGAAATTGACTGTACACTGTATAGTGTTAAGTTAAAATTATTAAAGATTTACATTAAATAGAAATTAAACATAAAATAAAAACATGTCTATGAGTGTTCAAAATCATTTTTTTTTCTCAAAATATTCAGTATTCAAAATGTCAAAGGGTGTCCAGTGGCCTAAGGTACATTAACCTGATTTTTAACTTTCCTCACCTTGTGTTTCCTTTTAACAATCCAAATACTATAAATGGTGTCACTAAAATGCAGTTTTTTCAAAGGAGTAGGGTAGAAAAAATAACCTTCGTCTGGCTGAAAACAAGTAAATTTAAGTGTTCTTTAAAACCTTATTTAAAACAATTTTCTGTTACAGACATGTTGCTCAAATTAGTCAAGATGAAGTGGATCCTTCTATTGTCCTACAAAGCATTTAACATTGATTTCAGTGATCTGTATTTATCTGAATAGCCTAATACAATAACCTGAATGACATGCCCAGACGTAGGTTTTGTGCTCAAGGGCTGTTGCTATCCTTGTTTTTCTTGATAGAACACGGAAATGGATGAAGGTGTAATAATTTCAACATTTCTATTAAATCCTAATCCTAGCTAGAAAGGAAGGAAAAATAAATGAAGAAAAAATGTAAAAGTCCATCAGAGTCCTGCATATCAGTAATCTTATACAAATGTGATGCAGCTTACAAGAAAACTACTGTACAAATTGAATCTCACTTAATTGCCTTTATACTTTTAACCTCAAATAATTAGATAGTGTTCAAAAAGAATCTTGCAGTCTTTCATACTGTAAATGATATGAATCATTGTGAATGCGACTTGTTGCACTAATCTTATGTAAAATTAATTATGCACATATGTCTTTTTGTCTTTTGTTTAGCTATCTCTAACAGCTTTAAGGCAACAGTTGTTTTGCGCTTCACTAATTCATAAACCTCAAAACCTTATTTCACTAGAGGAAGCCTTAAAGTAAACACTTTCTCATACCAGTAACCAATTACACCACAGCAAGAAATACACAGAATTTGAAATAGCAGCATTTTTCATCAATAATAAAAAGAACTTCACCTTTACAGCTTCACCTCTTCTTGTCCGGTTGTTTTTATTTTTTTGTGTTGGTGTTTCTGATTGATCTGTGTTACCTCAGCTGCGCCGACACCTGTTGATCAATGCAGTCCTCTTGTCCACGTGTTTTTGTGTTTCGTGCTGCCTCTGCTGTGCCCATGCGTGTTGACCAGTGTGGCCCTCTTCTTGTCTCTTGTCTGTGTCAGAGCGCTGTGTTTCTTTGGTTTGGCCCTGTCTCTTCTGGCAGTGTACCGAGCTCGCCCTTGGCCTCCTGGAGGCCGGCTCCTCCTGCCTACATGCAGCCTGCAGCGCCTGCTGTGCCTGCTGCTCCTGTTGCTGTGTGGGCCTGAAGGAAACCCCTGCTGAGGACCTCAACTGCCACATCGATTGTGATTTTGCCCTCTTTGATTCTTGCTGCGAGACGGCTGAGTGCCTGGAGATTTGTTTCGAGTGTTCTGAACTCTGCCAGTATAGCTAGTTTAAAAAGAGAAATGGCCAAGGTCAATAATCTGTAAGTGAACACATTAGCCAGTACAACAGTTACAGAAACCTCTGTCATGTATGACCTCTCAGGGCAACATGAAAGCTTACTGAAATATTGGCTAACTTCCATATATAAACCAGCTGGGGAGATGTATGTCTCACAGGACAGATAGCTCTTTCCTATTTATCAGCCTACTTAAGCATACTAAAACAGCTGATGAGTTCATTCGTCACAAGTACAATACAATACTTGAGCAGCCTAACGCAATCTTCTGTTCCTAAGGAAACAAGGATTTAACTGTGGAGGCTTGTGTTCCAGGGAAAATAATATATGTTCAAGAGTTAAACACTCCTAACAGTATCTGCTTGTCTTTAAAAAGGGGTTGGGTTCAATGAGCTGTATCTTTGTGCAAAACTATTCAGGGGGGGAAACTAGTAATATACAGTATAAGGACAGTAGCATAAAAAGGGATAGCTGGATCTGCAGTGCTTCCTGATAGATTGTTTTGCTGAAGGAAGTATATGTAATTTCAAAATATTTTCATACATCACAGCACTTGTGTCAGAAAGTTGACCAGTGCTTTAACTGCTAAAAAAACCTCCAAGTGATATATGTACAATTTTTTCCAAATTGATTTCTTTGAACTTTTTTTTTTCTTGCAGCTTGCATGCTTTGATTCTTCTCGGGTTGAAAGGTTTTATCTTGACTTCCCCAGGACCGCGGTACTCTTTGAAAAATGTTAGCACTTGCCTTCAAATGCTTGATTGCGTGCTCAAGCCTCATCTTATTATTAAGACCCTACAGAATTCACAGGCGAATACGAATGACTGACTAACCTGGTTTTCAGTGTAACTTCAAGATGGTAATCAAGCTACTTATATGAAACTGATCCAAAGAATAAGTAATCAGCAGTTAATTATGAAATATCCCCTCATATTGAGATACAGTTAAGCCTATTTTAGTTTGAACATTTAAACGGTAAGACCTTGCAAATGAGAGACTTACTGCCCCCAAAAGACTCACAAATAATGGAGATAATAGAAAGTATGAAAAACAGTAATTTGCCTCAGACAGACTCTTTTCTGTGCTATGTATACATCCCCTAATGCACTCATCATTACATTTTTTAAACTTTTTGTTTGATTGACCCTCTCTTCACACCAGACATATTCTTCACTAGTTCAAATTAAATTAAAGATCCTCAATACGAAAAACGCATCCTGTCTTAATTGCATTTCTCAGTGCCATCTTATACTTTAAGGTGTTTAAATTGATAAAAGTACCTTTTAAGATCAACTACCTGATCTTGGACACAAGTTACGTCAGTTTCCGCAGAGTTAGCTGAAATAATTTCCCTTCATATCTGAGTGCGTTATCAGATGTTTGATTTAATCTTTTCTGCCTGATACTTGAACATGTTAAAACTGTCACATCCTCTAATGTTTCTTTCACAGCTTTATTTTCTGTTCAACAATATTGGAAGCCTTGTGGCCTGGTCGTCCCTGTAAGTGACGTGATTAAATGAAGAATAGTGATGAGGATTGTCATCATCATCTGTCATAGAGTGTCAAATTTAGTGCTACCTTTAAACATACCAGTTGTAGAGTTGCCTTCTAGATGATTTCCAGATTAGAGATGGTGTTTTTGACATTTTGAGTGTTGCTGTATTGAAAACCCGGTCAGTCATTCACATCCACCTTTGGAGGAATTTGCTGCAGCAGAAGTTGCACATTGGCCTCCCACCAAACAGACTTTCCTAATTTTAAGATTTTTATGCTGCTCTTTGGTGTATAGTTGTTCCCTCTTATTTTGTCGTACTGTTCTTCTTTTTATATTAGCTTTTGGGTTTTCCTCATGACTCTGTTTAGTTTCCTGACTGTTGCTGGAGCTTTCTAAGTTATTCTAAAGTTGGACTTTTTCTTGAATAGCATAGCACTCAACTTTGATGTTCATAGTGTTTGCAATTCCTTATATGTTTTCTTATGTAATGTGACACATTTTTTGTATTTATTCACAAATCAATAATTATCTACAATCTCCTCATACAGTAGATGTTTTGTGTGAGTTATAGTATCTATAGCCACTTTTTGTGTGTCTGAGTGCAAGTATGATTTTGTGTTCTGCTTTCTAGGAGAATTTTAAAAGAATTTTAAAATGACCATATTTTGCTTTCTCTTTATGGATTGCTTCTTTTTTCAAGTGATGTAAACGTTTTAATGAGCCATTTGTTTTATGAGCTTAGCTTAATCCCAAAATTCACTAACTGTCCATGCAGGATTGAAAGATATGTACATGTATACTGTATTTAATATAGATAGACATTTAAATATTAAAAATATTTGTGCTGGCAACATTATTACAGACAGTAATATGTTCAGAATTATTATGGTAGCATGTATTTTGTAAGAAACATTTCTGGGTAAAACAATGAAGCAAATGATCCAGCTCACACTACACACATGCATATATGGTAACAGGGATATAAAAAATATCTTCAGTTTTACCTAACAACAGAAATAAAGTAATTTGTCATTACACTAAAAAAACACGTAATTCTAAAATGAGGTTAAATGTTAATCAAAAAGGAGAAAAACATCAGCAGTAGTGCAGCAATTTGCTGCTGAAATTTGGGACATTGTTAATCAGCTTTACATGATCAGCTAGTGCGTTTGCATGATAATGTCCCCATTATTAGAAAATTTGCTAATCAGTCCCAAAAGTGTAATTCATTCTTTTGAAATGATTTTCAGATGTCGATTCTTCTGGTTTTCCCCTTCTTTTGTCCCCTTTTCACTGCAAGCTTAAGATTCATTTCAGGAGATGCAAGTTTTCTGCCTTTCGTTCTGTAAATATTATGCATTTGTCATCTGTCTCCCTGTCAGAGCTCTCTTCATACTTCTGTCCTAAATCTATGTTGAATGTGTCAGTTGAATCACTAAGCTAGCATATAAGAAAGTAAAAAAAAAAATCTTAATGTTTCAGTCTAGTTTAAAAGGGAGATAAGAGAGCTGCTACCTTCTGCTTACCCGAAAGCTAGTGGTGTTCTGTCTGGGTTAAAATAACCTGTCTGTTACTTTATCACATTTCATGTAAAGTACATTGTACTGCAGGTGCTCATAACAAACTGAATTGAAGAGACTACTGCATTTTACATGTCTATGCATTCCTAACATTTTAAAAAAACAACACAGTTTTAAATGTCACATGGCCTGCATCAAAGTAATTTGAGAAATATTTGATGAGTGAAAGACCTAACACTGCTTTCTGATATTATTTTATTTTAAGACAAGAAAATACGTTTATTGGACCCGTTTTTCAGTTGTCATTAATGCTGTCTTCTTCCATATTGTTTTCCCCCCGCCCCGTTTAAAAAAAATGGCCAACTGTTTGCTCCCCACCCCCTGGACCCCGTGAAAGACTGCTGTGTTCACTGCATCCTGGCCTGCCTCTTCTGCGAGTTCCTGGCCCTCTGTAACATTGTGGTGGCCCAGGCGTCGTGTGGTACCTGTACCTCGGAGGCCTGCTGCTGCTGCTGCGGAGATGACCTGGGGGACGACTGTAACTGCCCCTGTGACATGGACTGCGGCATCATGGATGCCTGCTGCGAGTCGTCAGACTGCCTGGAGATCTGCATGGAGTGCTGTGGAATCTGCTTCCCCACATAAGCCGCAATCGACACATTCAGTCCTATATAAAGGAGGTGGACAACTAGGGTGACCAGCGTTACAGAGAGATGTACACAGTGAGAGTTTAACTGCTGAAGCTTCATGCATCCTTTTCCTTACTTCATGACATGGACGCAGATTTCAGAAAGGCCTTTGTACTGGAGAGCACGCAAAAGCCGTTTGTGTACGTGGAATTCTGCGACAACGTAAAATCGACATGAGCGTACTTTAAAATTGTTGTAGAGTAGTATTACCAACTATGCAGAGCTGAGGTTAAATTTAAGAAATAAAAAGTAATGTTTCAAGCTGTAGGCAACTGTAATTTTAAGTTAACACAGCTATCTTGTCTCTGAGGTTTATTCCGATGTGCTCAAGAAGATCTTTTATAGTACTATTGGCACTTTCACATTATTCTTTGGGTAGGCTCTTTTATGGAAGGGTCTGGAGAGTATTGTAATTTTTTTTTTACACAAATAGAAGGATTGAGCAGGATTTTTGTCTTTCGTTGCAAAGACCATCTAAATACCAGTAAGGTTTTCCAATGAAATGACCAAAAGATGTTCAGGTGGCACAGAGGCTTTGTGATACTCTTATCAGTTAATGCCTTGAGTGCTTTAGAACCCACTGAGTTTCCTGGGTCTTATTTCTAACATTATTGTTAAATTCCCAGGCTTAAAAAAACAATCATAAATGTAAAATATACTGTTTTTAGAAGATTTATTTTAACATTGTCTACTGTAGTTTGGTAAACAGGTTATCTTATGTTTTTATATTATTTTGTATGAATGACAACTGTAAAACTAAGAAAAATAGAAAATACAGTAAATTTATAAAAAAAATGCTTAGAATTTTTCTGTGTTCTTCCATGCTTCTTCTAAAACTTTAACATGTTTTTGAGTGTGTAAATTCTATAAACGTAAATATTCACCCTTATGTGTAAGGGATGGTAATTGATATAGTACCATCTTTAACATTTTCTTTTTAGTTTCCACAAACATTGTCTAAGTAACACCATCTCAACACAATTTAAATTTGATCAATTGTTTATCTTTATAAACATACACATACAGAACATTGGATGTTTGAAAAAATGCTAAGTCTGGTGTGTTCATGAAACTTTTCTAAAGGTTTCTTAAATAGTTTATAGTTAGGAGCATTTTACGTGTGTTAAATATGTGAATAATCATGCTCAACTATTTACAAAAGGCAGGGATACTCGTTTCCTGGGATTGATATTGGATTTGAATCAATGTTTGTGGATTACACAAAGCTGTGGATGTATGATGTATACTCTTTGCTATACAGAGTGAAGTGGGTTTTTTTTTTACAGTTTTGTCCCACGCTGCGTTTTTGTTTGCTGTTGAGGAGTTTTCTGTAAACTCAGCAGCATTTGTCAGTGCAGCTAACATGCAGCCCTATTATTAGAACTTCTAGTTAAATACTAGAGGAACTTGGTCTTTCTATTCAGCCGATTTCACTTTTTCACTGAATATCACTTTTTTGTTGTTTGCATTTATTTCCTTATAAATATAATTATTTCAGGTCATATTGATTTAAACTTTTCCCCTTTGACTGCTGTTTAGGGTTAGGGACTGGTATTAACGGCCCACTTTTTACAAGCTAAAAAGTGATTGTTGAAGCACTATGGTATTACTGTACATCCTACCTTCGTTACCACCTTGTTAGGCATGTCCATTATTGTATTTGATGAAAAGACTATATAAAGGACCAAAACAAATATACATCTGTGATTTCACACAGAAAATGTCACCAAATTTGAGGAAACTCTTAAGAGGAGATTTAACATGGTGCTTGATATTTTTAATGACTGCTTTACATTGTCTTCTGTGGTCAGTTTCTTTTGTTTTCCTCCATAATATATTAGCACAAAGTATTTGTCTCTGAAGCAGAGAATGTTTAGTAATGCATACTGTATAGATGCTAATAGTATTTTCTACTTAATCTATTCTGTCATTTGTAGCCATTATATTTTTCTACTGGTAGAATTAACATTTAAGTACCATTTATAGTAGAAACTCTCAAACTTAAATGTAGATAATGTGAAAGTACTATTTCCATTGATAAAATATTATTTATCTTCTCTAAAAGTACAGTTTTAGTTTTATACCCTATTAGACTTCAGTGTTTTCTTTTTCTGTTTTGTCTCACTGATCCCCCCCCCAGCATATGCCAAACTTTACTGTGTGTATAACGTTCGGGTGTAAACTGTAAAACTGAATACTGTTGAAAATAAAATGCATAAAGACTTATATTCAGTGTTTTGCATTTTATTTATCTATCTTCAGTGTCTTTATGTTGAACTTGCATTCAGTTATTACAGCCGCTTAAATGCAGACATTCTTTTGTACTTGACTTCCTGTTATGCCCTTGTCTTTGAAAATCGGAGCTGAATCCTTTTGCAGTGGTGACTCATCATAGCTACAGTAAGTGCGTGCAAAACTGAAACTGATTTGGACAGCCACCCTCTATTTGCGCTACGGTTTCCTGTAAAGTAGGAACTTGTAAGGCAGTAAGTACAGCATTGGTCATCAAAGCCGTCTTTACATACTGTACTGTAAAGGTGTGTGAATTTCTAACGCAATACAAAAAAGAGAGGGATCCCTGTGTATCCAAGGTTAGCTCCGAGATCTGTTTAAAATGCTTTCACGTAGACAGTGCTACACAGAGACACCCGTGATCACTCAGGAGGACATATGCTACCTGTTCTCAAGAACCAAAACAGCTCCCCTGCTGGGTAATGCTGTATTCTGACCTTTGGCAAGAACAACCCCCTATTAACCTTTCAATTAACCCCAACACTGTCCTATTTGGCATACCCCCTGCAAGTCCCAGCAAGACATTTCCATTCCTTTTATATTTTCTGCCTTGATAAATTCTGCTCAGAAATTACCATCTTATTTCACTAATGGCATTTGAAAATATTCCCAATGGCTATCACTCTTTTTTAATCGCAAGGGGGGGAAAAAACATCTCCAGGTAAGTGTGCTGTGACCTTTTGCAAAGTCACCCACCTTTATCCTTTTAATCAATTTCCCTCAGTTCATTTCAGCACAAGTGCTTGTAATTTCCTGATTAAGAAAATTCCATTGTTTCTGTTTTCAGTCTCAAGAAATTTAGTGCTGCTTGGACCTGAGGTCATTTCTCTTACAATATTAAATAAGTCATTAGAGGAGCATTTTTTTCACTTCTCAGTCGGATGTTACTCAGGTCCGCAAAATGAACGTCTGGTGCCCTTAGCTACAGAAATATACACATTATAGCTTTTGAATTCTCTTCTTTATTATTTAATAAGGACATTTGTTTTAATACTGTGTTTTTTCCTTTTGTGCATTTGCTTCAAAGCTTTTTGTTACTGTTAACTTAAATACTGTATACTGTATATACACATGATTTTTAATTCCCCAGCCCTGAATGGCTTAATAACAATTTACATTACTGAACCAGATGTGATTGAATGATTCACAGAGTGGTTATGCACAGATCATATTGGAAAATAACTGTTGGTTTACAAAACACAGAACAAAAAAAATTCCAGCAGAGCAAATATCAAGTGGAACTAATTCAGTTTTGGCATTGATTTAGACCAAACAGTTCTACAGTGCCAGTTTGAAAATGGGAGCAAAACCAGCTTTTTTTATTCATTCTCTGCAAATTAACATTCAGATGTAACATGCATAAGAGCTGAGCAACTATGCATTCTAGAGGTTCATTAGGTACTACCAATTTAAGGGCCTATACTTTGCATGTGATGCATAATGTAATAATATCCTTTCTTCTCATTCACATCAAAGTTTGAAGGACTGTTGGTATCTTCTTGAAATCTGACTTGCAGCATGACATAAAAAATAATATGAATAGATCTTTCAGTGGGGTAAGCACAAAACTAGTTGGAGTAATGTCACGCTCAATTAATGTACTCAGGTGGTGCCCCCATTAAAATTCCCACTTGTGGGTACAGCTTACTATGCAAATGGGGTCATTACCTGGAGATTTTAATTGGGTATGACATGGGGAGCAGAATGTTTCCTCCTTATATTTATTTGCATGTACACTTTTTTCAAATATAAGTCACATTATTATATACTTTCTTCATATATTACCCCTATTTTAAGGAAGGTCATTTTGGAAAAAATCTTTGATTGGGAACCCAGCATATTGTTGTCAGTGTAGCTTGCTCTTACTTATTATCTTGAATGCTTAAATTGAATAAGGTCTCACTATTATAATTTGTGGTTGTACATGTCATCATAATAGAGAGTCCCAGTGGGTTCTGAATATCATGAAGACAAGGTTTGAGCTTATTTAGAGACAATCGTGCATCAATCCCAAATGCAAATTTCTATTCTGCTGATAATGTGTCATTATTATTATGTGTTCAGCTTTTTATTTACTTATTTCTGGATAAAGTTATCAGTCAAATACCTTTTCAGCATTTTGTTTCTTTAAACAAAAGAATCACAGTGGACTGTACTCCCTGAATATATAAAAATATTGAATTGGTCTGAAAATCTGAAACAAAAAATGTAGTGCACATAAATATAAAGTCTTCCTTTCTCTCAGATGTTCTATCTTCAAGATTTTGTAGTTGCATACAAAAAGATTTTTGAATATGGCATGAGAAAAGTAAATGATTTGCTGGTCTTTAATCTTACCTACATGGCCTATTTCAGATTTGTTGTTTTTAAGCATGTCTCATTATATTCAGTTGTAATACTTAAATATTTAAAATCCCTTTCCTGAAACCTTTGCCACTTTACAAGTTCACCTTACCGTGTTTAATCTCTCTGTTACCTTAAGGTGCTACCATGATGTTGTAAAAACCAGCAGGCAGCATTTTGAGAGATCTTGGAAAGAGCAAAGAAATCAGTTCCTTAGTTTAAAGTACTGAGGAAGTTCAAAGTTCCTGCCACTCAGGTTTGAAGTTTTGTACTGACAATGAATGACTTGAAAATGAAAGAAAAATACTTTATATCAGGGTGCTTTAATGCTTCTGCTTTTTTTTCCCCTGCTCGTGCTGCCTGAAACAGAATTTTATGTGTGTGTAGTATTTTTAAACATCAAGTGGGATGCAAATGTCATGGCTGTGTCTAGGTTTGTGTGCTTGCTTGTTTAGGTTAGAGGGGAAAATGGCTGCTACGAGTAAGACATCAAAATAAAGTGATGCACTTCTAAACTTTTTTCAAAATTTAATGGACCGTGGTAGAAGCAAATTGAGGAGGACATGTGGGTAGAAAATTTCCTGTTTATTTGCTTGAACATGGTCCTTGAACTATAAATTAGATGTCACCATCATTATTTGTCAATTGATAACAGGAATGTGTTGTAGCTAAAATAGCTATGATTTGATTTTCCTTTTTAAAATTACTTAAATGAGCAAGTTGACTGGCGTGAAGTTATCCTGACAGTTTGACAATTTTGTTATTCACAGTGCTTTCTTGTATATTCTTGTATATATTGGTATATACAGTACGGTGACATAACGCTGTCATGTTTCACACAGTGAACTTAATGAAATACACATTGACTTTTCAAGTTTTCAAGAAACAGTTCAAATAAAAACCCTTCTCTTTTGAATTCATTATTCATACGCCATACTGTATGCACACTGAAATATTTGTAATGCCTTTTTGAATTATTATATAATATTAAATCTGGCATTTAAATAATAAATGTTTATTATAAATAAAGAAATAAATGTTTTTGACCTAAAATTTTATTTTATAACACACTGTTTTGTACTTTATCTTAGGTGTGTTTATTGTTCTAACATTAGGTGTGGGTTGCAGCATTATGTAACTATTTTTTTTAGATAAAGGAAGGTCTGTCCCTGTGTTGTTGTGTAAACATGTTTTTATTTTAAAATGAGTGTTGGAAAGAAATAAAAAATATTGAACTTAAATACAGTACTGACAAAGATTGATGGCAGATTGTTCGTCCTGTATGTTAAATGTTTTGCTTGAAGATGTTCTGTATTATTGAGAATACAAAATTGTTTCCGATCGTTTCCCACAAATTTTTAAACTGAACAGTGAAAAATTCTAGACATTAATCATAGTACACATAAATTGCTTTGTATACCTCACCTGGATTTCTAAGAATCTAGGCCTGCTAAGGAACTTTTTTTAGAATCAATCATAAAACTCGTCACTTCATAATAATTTAAACATACCTGTGATTGAATCTCCCTGAAGGGGAGAAGAACCGGTGTTAACATAGTCTGTGCCTCAACAGAAGAGTTACAGTAGATTATTGTGGATTTCTGGAGGGAATCGTAAATATGGTATTGTAAATTAACTGATCCTGGACATGTTGCAAAGTTCAGGACAAGGTTGCTCACAAATTTTTAATTTAAATAAGTGTATTCTGTTTTTTATCCGTAACAGTTAAAGTGAACAGTTGTTAACCTTGGTGATCTGGGAAGGATTCAGTTTTGTGAAATCAAGCATAACCGCAGGTCTCCCTGTGACAGGTACATTCAGATAATTCTATCTCTGGTGTGTAAGCACCAAGCTTTCTCAGTCTCAGTCAATTGCCCAGTTTCAGGCAGTGGCAAGTTTAAACACTCTTAAGTGAATGATCTAGGGGAGTGATATCACATACTGTAACTTGAGACTTGTTGCACCACGTTTGACAAATAATATACAGTATGTTCAGACAGAATATTTTCTAAAACAGTGCATTGTCTAATAATACATTATTCTTAAAGTGAAATGAATCAATCAGTGTTATTTTTAAAGAATAAACAGGAAGAATGGACACAAATATAGTGAAAAAGGACAGCCCTGACAAATCTTTTATTAACTAAAAAGAAAGCATTTGTATCAACACTCTTGAGTTCACTTTTGACTTATTAAATCCATACTCCTACAAGACTCTAATGCCCAAGGTATGAGGCTGCCAACTGATGAACTAACCAATCAGAAAAAGCATTCTTCAAATTTTCTGGCGGATCAGCCAATCGGTTAGATGTCTTGCAGACAACATGTGTCCGACCTTGGATTTTTCTCTGTAGGAGCAGTCTGAAGCCTGCCACATTCCTGCTGCTGTTGAAGTAGGAGAAAGAAGGGACATGAGGATTCGAGTGCTATCATTACAAAAAGAAATCCCAAGCCATGATGGTAATCTATTGTTCCTCATGACAGAATACAGATAATGCTGGTAAAGAGGGTATGTGATAAAAAAAGCCCTAGACCTTTAAGTCCTAGAAATTGTATAAAATTAAAAGTGCAAAGTATATTTATACAATTCAAT